AAATATAAGTATTTGAACATGTGCATAGTTGTATGTAGAATGATGCAACACGGCTGAGGTTGTAGGCGCAGTCTCCGAAATTGTAGCAGAACCACCGTCATGGACTTGCGACTTCCCGTTTCGTGGAAGGGTAAAATGCTTGTGTCCGGTTCATAACTACTACAGTCACCCTCCGCCTAGTACACTATGATTCCTAACATAGCCCGGATGGTATAGTAGCATAACTGTGGGTGACAACAGCTGTGGACAACATCGGTTTCACTGCACTCGGAGGACAACATAAGCAGGCAACCACGGACGAGAATGACAAACGGAACCGTCCAAAGCTTGAAGGCTGCAACTGTGTAAACCAGACTTGAATGTATTCCCCCAGTAGACCAGCATGGTGCACAACGTGTCCACCACCACAAGTGATGTGGCGTAGGCGAGGTGTTGCTGTGCCTGGGGCTTGAGAACCAGACAACCAATGTCATCGCGCATCCGCAGCGAGTATGTGAAAGTGTTATCTGGAAGTCAGCACAGGTGCCTAGCGGGTCTGAGCTGCGACAAATGACTGGATCGTTAGCGGAATACCCCTGCAACATGTTACTGTCTTAATGCTGGGATTGTCTGAGTGCTACAGTGTGTGTGTTCACCCACGAATACGTGCAAATGACTCCAGAGACTTTGCCGTGCATCTATTGTGTGCGCGGATTCATTGCCTAATTATTTCTACTTTCCGTACTCCAGGTGAATCTGAATACCTCAATAACTGATGTTGCCTACAGTTCTTTGTCTTCTACCACGTACTGTCGCTTATTAGCTACGCGCTGTTAAAGCGATAAATTAAGAATACTGCATAACTTTAGACTTAGGGATGTGTAGTCGGTGGGTGCTGCATAAACATGCATTTGTATCCTCCTGGAAATAATCCGCTGCTATCTACGTGTCGTAGGTATGTCATATTGGATTCAATAAATGCCATCTCAGTGGTGATGCGAATATTCCGCGGTCATTTATGAGATATGAACACTTGGATGTAATCAACAATGGGCCTTGATCATTGTGTTATTCTACGTCATGTTATAGTGCATAACGTTTTTGAGCACCCACCGACTACACATCCCTAAGTCTAAAGTTATGCAGTATTCTTAATTTATCGCTTTAACAGCGCGTAGCTAATAAGCGACAGTACGTGGTAGAAGACAAAGAACTGTAGGCAACATCAGTTATTGAGGTATTCAGATTCACCTGGAGTACGGAAAGTAGAAATAAATAGGCAGTTAATTCGCACACAAAATAGTTGCACGGCAAAGTCTCTTGAGTCATTTGCACGTATTGGTGGGTGAACACACACACTGTAGCACTCAGACAATTCCAGCATTAAGACAGTAACATGTTGCAGGGGTATTCCGCTAACGATCCAGTCATTTGTCGCAGCTCAGACCCGCTAGGCACCTGTGCTGACTTCCAGATAATACTTTCACATACTCGCTGCGGATGCGCGATGACATTGATTGTCTGGTTCTCAAGCCCCAGGCAGAGCAACACCTCGCCTACGCCACATCACGTGTGGTGGTCGACACGTTGTGTAACATGCTGGTCTACTGGGGGAAGACATTCAAGTCTGGTTTACACAGTTGCAGTCTTCAAGTTTTGGACGTTTCCGTTTGTCATTCTCCTCCGTGGTTGCCTGCTTATGTTGTCCTCCGAGTGAAGTGAAAACCGATTTCGTCCACAAATGTTGTCACCCACAGTTATGCTACTATACCATCCGGGCTATGTTAGGAATCATAGTGTACTAGGCGGAGGGTGACTGTAGTAGTTATGAACCGGGCACAAGCATTTTACCCTTCCACGAAACGGGAAGTCGCAAGTCCATGACGGTGGTTCTGCTACAATTTCGGAGACTGCGCCTACAACCTCAGCCGTGTTGCATAATTCTACATACAACTATGAACATGTTCAAATAATTATATTTTGACACCATTAGGAGTTGGTTCACAAAACAAGATGCATGATACTATGTTACTAAATTGATTAATGCCGGTTTACTTACTTAGTTTAACTCTCATGACATGTAGATTTTCCTCATTTAACACTGCATCAATTAAGTTTCGCCTATCTAAGGTGTTGTTTTTGGACATTCAGTAGCGCTGCTCGCCATGCAATTTTATCTGTCGAATCGTTCCGATATCACGCTTCTTCCACTTCGCACACCTTCGACACTACATAAGCCATCCTGTTTGGCATTCAGTGATTACCTCTGCTGTTGCCTTTGTCGTCGGTCCGTTGAAAGCGGTGAGAGTGATTTCCACCTCCGACTATCACTGTTAGTACTTCGACCGTGGTAGGCTGAACTACACAACGAACAACTGACACTGTCAAATGAGCAAGAATGGATAGCATTTCTATAGGATACTCTGAATTCAGCTATTTCGCGTGTTATGTCAGCTGTTTACCTATGCTTAGCGGATTGAATATATCGCATCCATCAGTATGTAATATGCACCAGATGCTATCATATAGCCGCCACAAAAATGACGCTTTCGTCCTTGCACACACTGCCAGTTATGCAGAACTATCACTGGTGGTACTAATCATTTTGTATCCGGCAGTCGGATTTAAAGTTAAAGGCGTACCTTATAAAGCCTTCAAATTTTAAATGTTCGGTTATTTTGTACGTCATTTTTACACTTCTCTGCGGTTGACATTCATTTTTTATGAACTACAAACTGGTTTCCGTTCGTATACCGTGTCGGTAGTTATCCAGCTATGCTCATGTGAAGCGATTGCATGTGAGCTTCAACAAATCTTGTCTACAGTACGCGAATATTGACGTCCGGATATTTGCTAGCAAAGAACTCAAATGTCAACACGAAACCCGGGAACGAACGAGTGCCTGATGTCTCTAAAATATGTTTATGATGCCACTCAAAGGAGTCTACGACGGCAGAAGTATCAGATATCATTCGCAGAAATCGACGACGTAGGTATTACGCTGCTGAGCATTTGGTTTAGCACAAAATTAAGCAGTTGCTGTTTACATCCACCTAGACGTGACAGAAACTTGCGCTTTAGCATAAACGCTGCCTGCGTATTGTGCTGTGGCAAGCACTGTGAATATTTTGTCAGCATGCTTTGTGAAGCCAATGTCATCGTCCAGTAAGGCTTCAGAATCTCGATTCCTTCTGATGACGACTTGAGTGCGAGTCATATTTCAAGGCATGCTATAGTGAGAGCAGCAAAGGAAATTTTCCGTCGTACGCTGAGTGAATGGCGAGAATTTGAGATCCAACCAACTGGTGTAAACAACCCAACCATTATGTCCATTAAATCATATCATCATACCACAGCTGATACATGAGCAACGAGTTCGGAACCAGCGAGCTCTCTAAGTCCCCTATTCATGGCGCGTGCGCCCACTCCATTTGCTATATGTAAGTCGGATGTTAACTGTTGTCTCCACCTGGGATGTTATTCCCGTATCCTTCAATATCGCCTATACTAGAGGTAGACTACACTAAGGAATGTGAAACATTTCTGCTTTCTGTAATTTCGACAAACATGTGCAACTTTCCTTTCAACTCCCGATCGTCCATCTGATTATTCCATCAATAGTACGTTCATTAATCAAAAGAAGGGAATCACAGTGCTACGCTACTCACCCACTCTGCTTATACGCTTTCTATTGACAGCAGCTCAGATAAGCCAATGTTAGTTTCCTGCACTATGAGAATTCTCCTTATTTTTTTATTTGTACACCCATTAAATACATTGAATACCAATAGTTCCTGATTGACACCCGACAAAATACCCGAAGCAAAACAACAAACAACGATATGCGAAGTTTAGATCAGACCCACGCTCACTGTTTCGTCGTGCGCAATTATCAGAGATGCGGAATTTGATGTGAAAGCCCCCATATGACAGCAAGCATAAAGTGCCAAGATATATATATTTGCAATTTAAAGCATAGGATGGAATTTGGACATTCAGCGTGGCAAACTCGGAATTGCAGCAACGTCGCAAAACATAGAACGCGTTCTTACCAATAACAAATATGCAAAAAGCGAGCACCCATTTGGTGGCAAAGGAAGTGGGAGGAACCGATAAGTACCGATTTATTTGTTAAAATATTGCAAGTTCCTTTTCCAACAATCGAGAAATATTTAAACGGATAACGCATAACATATTAGAAATGATTGCCTCCTTCTTTGTCTCCACAAGGATAGCTGTCATCCGTGTATAGCGATGGTGATATGTACGTATTTTTTGATCGAATTTCCCCCGGGAACTGCAAACATGCTATCACGTTGCAATCCTGATCGTAAATCTTGTAGCTTTCTACGCCTTTAAGCTAAAATTTGAAATGAGTAGTTCACTTGCTTTTGTACTGAAACTACTTTGAATTCAATAATCTTAGGCAAACAATACTGTGACTCATCACCGTTCAATAATCATCCAAAAGCAACTCATAGCAAACCTAACAACTTACCGAAACATCCGGTGCGAATAACACATTTTTATACGTGTATACAGCACCTGCTTCTAGCGGACATCCCTCATCTATATAGTTGCAGATGTTGTCCGTCCCGGGCAATTGTCGTAAACACTTCTTCGACTGTGAATCGCTTATGCAAGCTTGCAGCTTCCCGGAAAGAACCCTTCTTCCTAATATGAACACAAATAATAAATGTAAGCGCCATATAAGTTGATATCTGAGCAGTGAAAACAGAGTTCGTGACCCCAAAATAAAAGAAACACTTCAGATCAAGCACCTAACGCTGCGCAGATAAGATGTTTATAGATCAAGGCATGATTTCGCTTTAGTTAAGTGTTATGACAATAAATTAAAGTACAGAGAAGAAGCTGCCAAAGAAAATCACTTAGGCTTGTGTTTCATGGTGTGCAAAGTGCGTATTCCTTACCAATGAAATCCCACATCATTACCAGACTAGGCAAAGAGCACAAACTAAAATGATTTTAAAGCGAACCTATATCATATAATATTCCCTTACTTGTTCTGAAGGTGATTTCTTTTCTTGCAAAATTACCTCCTTCACAGACACAAGGTGCCTGGGTGCAATTTGACACGAATGCGCCGACAAGCGTTTTGTCATCAGCTGGAAGCAGTGAAAGCAAAGGAGGACAGATAAACAGTCATCAATTAGTTGTTGGTGTGGGCTGATCTGCATCCTACAATTTGTGAGACTAAACTACTGATATCACTAAACACATTGCTGTACACTCTCAAATTGTTAAAGCACATTATTTGCTTTTGATAAATAAACATGAAACAAGAAGAGGCGTGCTACAATGGTGCACTCACAGCAGTCACTGTAAAATGTATCCGCCTGCAGAACTGCAAATTCAACAATGAGTAGAACAAAAAGCACTCTGCAAATCTTGGCGTCCATTTTCCTTGAGATACATTCTACGCATGTGACAACGTTATTATTTATACTTATTCTCATCCCATTGTATAGCTGAAGGACTGTCGCAAAGTTGGAACAACAGGCGTGAGCGGCGTATTCAAGTTGTCCGCTAAATGGCTCACCATGAAACATATGTCGATCATGTGTATTGTGTAGCATGAAACCAGTGCCGTTGAATTTAAAAACAAAAATGTGGGATATTCTTTCAACGTAAAATTCGATTATTTGATCAACACCACCATTCCACCTACATTTATGGGAAGTCTATTTTATTTACGTAAACGCCAAAACAATATGTAAATGCCGCTTTGAGGCGGTGTTTTCGTATTGTCTTGCTCACTTTATTTTCAAATTGCCCTAACCATTAAACCTTTGGTAAATGAAATGCAGATTTTGCATCAAACCCGTAATGCTGACTTGCTACATGGCATGAATATATCAATATGCATGTTAATGTAAGCGCCGTTTTCTTTCTGGTCCGCTAGCAATAATCAAGTTCATTTTCATCGATAATCACGTTGCTGTACTGAATGTTCCGTTTGCAGCTTTCGTTGTGTCGAATGGGAACAGAAACAGTTTTTATGTGCTGAAATAAAAGTGGTTAAGCAATGGTTAGTGAAGTACTGCAGAATACTGCTTAGTAGCCTTTGGTATACACGGTTGATGAAAAATGAACAATGAGTTTATACGGGTTACGAAGCGTTGCTTTACAAGCCCCGTTGGATAGTTGGTGGGGATATCAACATAATAATTATGATGAAAAGGATGGTAAAATAGTTAACACTTTTAGTACGAAAATAAGGACTTATCGTTTGCTTCGCTGCAGTCCTGCGATTCACTTAGATTCACAACACCCACAGTTAACAACAAATAATTCCAGGGTAAACTCCAGGTGTAGGATGGAGACATAGTGTTAAGTAACAAAGTGAAAGTGGATGAGTGCATCGTCCAACCGTCTTTTAAATATTGTTAGTGTCGGTGCAGAGACGACCGATTCTGGGAGAGCATTCCACGGGTGACAGACACGGATGGAAAAGAAATTTCTGCGGCACTCCAGACGACTGTATTGTTCTGCGAGTTTTAATGAGTGGCCCCTCAGGTTTGTATTGTTGCTGAGTTCCAGTAAAGAGCAGCACACATGATGTGGGTCTTGCAGAATCAAGTATGTCATAATCAGGTCGCCTCGTAGTCTGCGATAACTTCCACTGAACAATCCTAGTCGTCGCAGCCTCTCCTGATAGGACAGATTGAGCGTTCCAGTTACGTTCTTAGATGCCCGGCGTTGAGGCTGCTCCAGTGCATTAAGGTCGTGTTTCAGCCATGGATGCCAGGCTTGAATTGCGTATTCAACATGGGGGCGAACATACGCACTGAGCATTTGTCGAAATATGGAGCTGTTTATTTGTCCAAACGCCCGCCTCAACAGCCCCAAGTGTTGGTTCCCGGTCTTCGAGACTTTTCGGATTGCCTGGAGCAACCCAAGTCATCTTGAACCAGGACACCCAAGTCACGTTCGAGAGTTGATTGTTGCAGTACATCCGTTCCGAGTCGGTATGAGTAGCTGCTTTGATGTCGGATGGAAAGCACCTTGCGTTTACTGACTTTGAAATGCAATAAGTTTTGGATCGACCATTGATACACTGTACCCAAGTCACTTTGGAGCACATGTTGGTCGGCGTTCGCCTGGATCCTGCGCCAGATCTTGATATCGTCGGCAAACATTAGGAAGTTTGAAGCGATTCCCTGTGCAAGGTCATTAATAAACACCAGAAACAAACGTGGACCTAGAACTGAGCCTTGCGGCACCCCACACTCGACTTGTATGGGGTCCGATAAAGAGCTCCGAACTCTGACCACTAATTGCCTTTGAAATAGAAAGTTGGCGATCCAGCTTAAAAGAGGGTCGCCGATCCCGTAATGCTGCAGCTTGGATAGTAGTATCCGATGGTCTAGACGATCGAAAGCCTTGGAAAAATCCAGGTAGATCACATCAACACCTTTTCCAGCGTCGGCTGCCTCGGTCCAACTACTGCGTGCAATGAGTAAATTAGTTGTACATGAGGGCTGTCGACGGAAACCGTGCTGTTCAGGAGTGATGAGGTTGCAGTTTTCCAGATAGCACACCAGTGCATCGGCAACTATGGATTCCATGAACTTGGAGAGTATAGGAAGAAGGGTTACTGGGCGGTAGTTGGAGGGATCAGATCTGCTACCACCTTTGTGAATCAAGCTTATTATTCCAAGCTTCCACATGGCGGGAACTTGGTTCTGGTCTACGCAGTGCTGAAAAAACTGAGCTAAATATCCTGCCAGTTGGTTTGCTGCTACTCCCAATGCCTCAGGACGAATGGCGTCGACACCCGGCGAGCTGTGTTTGCGTAGAGAAGTCAGCTTTTGCAATACAGCCTCTGCGGTAAAATTGATGTGGGTTAGTCCTGGTGGTCAGAATACAAAGCTTGGGAGATCGCTTGGTGGCAAGACCCCTTGAAACGTTGGGGCGTATTGTATCTGCAGCGCGTTTGCAGCTTCCATAGACGTGCTTGTTGGGCCATCAGCCGTCTTGAGTGGAGGAAATCCTTGCCTCACCTTTCGTAGGCTATTAACGTGCTTGTACAGCAGTTTGTGGTTAGCACTGAAGGTTTGTGCGATGTTCTGCTGATAGGCGGCTTTGTCTTTTCTTAACAGTTGAGTGCAGTGGTTACGTTGGGCTACGTAGTTGTCCCAAGTTTCTGGTGCTGGAGCTTCTCTGTACACTAGCCATGCTGCGTTGCGTACTGTCATCCATTTTCGGGTTCTGCTCCTAACGAAAGAAACGGATTTGCACTTATTGCAAGCTTTTATCTCTGAAGCCTGTGCAATCAGCTGACTGAATGTGTTCACGAACTCCAGCCAGGCGACTTCCGGGAGTTCTTCTTCGTGGAAAGACCATGTTGTGGCGCTGACTAGCTGGGCGAGTCGGTCGTACCTTGTGATGGTTCGCACAGTATCATCGTTATCATTCCGATATTCTGCACAGCAGACGAAGTTGAAACTGATGACTGCGTGATCACTGCGATCCAATGGGCAGTCTAAAACCAACGCATCAATCATATGCTCCTCGTTGGTAAGCACAAGATCCAGCACAGATGGCCTGTTACCAGTTCTGAACCGAGTGGGCGAAAGTGATGTGGTTGTAAAGAGGAACAGTAGTTACTAGATCTTGTAAATCGGTTTTGAATTGTTCGCCGGTTGTGGCAGGGGCTTCTAAACAGTATACCTTGAAATCACCCATGATAAGAATGTGAGTGTACTTTTGTTGTAAACTGCACCTTAAAGCAGCCATTAGGTGGTAGTCGGTTTCGGGTGTTGAGTTAGGGGCGCGGTACACCAAGATAATAAGGCAAGCGTCCCTGCCTTTTAACTGCAACCGGCACCAAAGAGAGTCGGGGAACTGCGAGTCTGAATCCTCCACGGATTCGCACTGTAAGTCGTTTCGGTAGTACAGGATTACCCCTCCTCCATTTGTGAGTCTGTCGTTCCTGATCAGCGACATGCCGGGTAGCGACACTTCAGCGTCCGTCATTCCCATGTGCAACCATGTCTCTGTGATACCAATGAAATCATACGAGCCGGAAGCTTGGCGATCTTTCAGTTCAGCCAGTTTGTTAGAAAGTCCCTGAGCATTTGTATACAAGCAGGCCAGTTTCTCGGTCTCTAGGAGCCCGCAGAGAGGTGAAGCTGTCAAGTGTGGGAGAATGCCGACCGATGGGAGGTCGGCAGTTATTCGTTTTTTGATGGGTCAATGATACCTCGTTTGCAACTTGATTCGGCCAAGGTGCGTCCCAGCCTTCGTTTAGACCTACTTCAGAGTCAATTAAATCAGCAGTCAAGTTACACTTCTGTACATTCGTCAGAATGCTTGCTGCTTCAGTTGCTTTAATATTTGAGCTGTGCGAATTGTTTGCGACCTTTAACCGAATTTCGGAAGGAAGATGTTTCCGATTTCTCCGCCATCGATCCAAAACATCCTTTGCTTGTTGCTCTGACTGAACCACAAGTTTTAGGATTTTAGGGCCGCATCCTCTATAATTCGATGAGAGAGGTATCCTGGTGAGCGATAGTGCCACAACATCATCCAACGAAAGTGTTTCACGAATGAACCGCCACTGTTCTAAATCGTGCTTTCCGGTATCTTGAACATGGTTAGAAGGATGTTTTGGCACGCTATGTATGAAGACTGTGTTTAGGCGGTCTTGCTTGCTGTGCCCCTCTTCGGTGTTTCGTTTTGGTTGTCTCGCGCTCCAAGGGACATCAGGATAGATACGTATCGCACAGTATTCGTGTTTTAGCGCGCTTGCGGAGAGCAAAATATTTTCCACGTCGGTGGAGGATTCTAGAGTTACTCGAATAAGTCTGGGTTCACCATAGGGTGGCGAGTTCGGATGACGAGTAATTCGTAGCAAGTTTATGGGCTTGGCTTTGATACTCATCTGCATACACAATGAGTTCCATTTGTCTTGGTCGTCTGATAACCTATCCCGCAATGTGATGGCGGTAGATTCGGGGACATTTGAGCATACAACAGTCCGGGCACTGTTGTTGGATCCCTTTTTAATCGATCTACAAGGTATGGTACTCATTTGTCTTGACTTGTTGACAAGTGATTGTTTGCTGTTTTTCTCTCCATTTGCGTTAACGGTGTTTACAATGGAAGAGGACGCAACGGCGGCCTCTCGGTGGACCCTTGCAGCAATCTCTGCATATGTAACCGATGTTCTGTGAGGCTTAGTCTAGACAAGAGATATTTGCGCTACAGGTACCAAGGGTTGGTGTTTGGCTGCTCCATCCTTGTTAATACTAGATGTCAGGTCTAGTGGAATTTGCTTAACCAGACGTTTTGAATGGTTCCTGATTTTCTTTGCTGTGAGTACTGCTTGATTCAGGTAGGTACAGTCTGTTTTCGCCCGGCGTTCTACCAAAGTTGGAGAAGACAACGGAGATGG